TAAATATATACCGATTTTTTCTAATGATTGACCTTGGCTTCTATTTATTGTCATTGCGTAACATAATTTTATAGGAAATTGTTGTCTTTTTAAAACAAATGGCCATTTGGATTCATTTATAGTTATTTCTATTCTAGGTATTTATCTTTAATATTTGTATCAACAGAGTTAATAATATGGCCTTCAATTATTCTATTTGTTAATTGGGTAATTATTAATCTTGTACCATTACATAAACCTTGTGACTAATTAAGATTTCGTAATAACATAATAGGAATTCCTATTTTTAATTTCAATTCATGTGGTGGTAAATTATTAAAATTTAATGTGTAAAAATTCAGGAGGATATAATAGATTTAGTTCATCAAGGTTTCCAGATGAGGAAATAATTGTATCATAACTATAATAAATTTTCTCCTCTGTAGGTACTAAAGATAACATATAGTTATTTATTTCATCTGTTGTTTTATTTATAGGTGCTACAATTGCACGATTTTTTATATATTTAATATTGTCATAGTTATTTTTAAAATCATCATATACTACAGTGCAAATATGTTTAATTGGATTTTTATCATATTTTATCAAATATTGTTCAGGTATATTAATCCAAGTAGCGTCTTCATTTTCTGGATCTTTTATTCCATCAACTATTCCATTTCCAATATTTAATATCCAGTTAGAAAATTTTGTTATTTCAGTTTGTTCATCAATAGAGCTGTTTGGAATTTTTAATCTCATATTTTCTGTCAATGTTAATAAACGGAAATATGTCCAAAGATAAGAGTTATTTATACTTACATTAATAATGTTTTCTTTTGTGCCTCTTGGAATAACAGGTAGAATCTGTCTAAAATCACCACCTAAAATAACTGTCATTCCTCCAAAAGGTTGACTAAAGTTATTTTTCAAGTCTTGCATTGTTTTATCTAAAGCTTCAAAATAGTATTTAATATTCATTAGTGCTTCGTCTCATAATATTAAAGTTATTTTTTCTATTAATTTTGCTAACTGAGTATTTTTTTAATTTGACATGTTGAAAATTTATCAACTAAAAGCGGGATACGAAAGCGTGAATGTGCAGTACGACCGTTTGGTAAAAGTCATGATGCTATTCCAGATGATGCAACTGCTAATACTATTTCACCTTCTGATCTAATTTTGTTAATAAGTGTGTTCCATAAATATGTTTTCCTGTACCTCCATATCCATCTATGAAAAATAAGTTATCATTGTTGTTTTTAAGTGATTTTAAAATTTCATTGTAAATGTAACATTGTTCATGATTTAAATTATTTATTAAATTTATATTTTCTTCTTTTAATTTTTTTATCATAATTTAGTTCTTCTCTTATAAGCTTATTATCTAAATCTTCAATTAATGATCCCGTTGGAAGTGGTATGTTAAAATTTGTTAAGGAAGATATCGTCACTCATTAGGTTCCTGTGATTTTCTAATAATTTAACTGGATCAGGTACATTGTAAAATAATAAAAGAATAGTAAAAAGTTGACGAAGTTGAATAGATGTTGACCAAAATGATACTTCTTCAATTGATTCATTCCATTCTTTATCATCTCCTAATAAACCTAATGCATCACATGCTTGTTGATAAGTTGGATAAATAATACTATTAATTGTTCGAATTGATTCAAAACTTGTTGCACCTTTTTGATGGTTTAATAATAATTTTAAATAAAATAATTCACCAGAACTGGGAGGAATATGAAACATTCTTCCAATAGTGTGTCTAATTTGTCGTTTTGTCCAAATTCTATCTTTGTGTTTCCAAACCCATTTTCTTGGAAATTCTATATAAGTAAGTTGTCAAGCTTCTTCATGTGTTTTATTAATTTCCATCCATTCAGTCAGTATTCTTTTTTTGTTGTGTGGTAAATTAATTTTATTTTGTAACTCTTTATTCTTATTAAATGTAATGTTTTGCATGTTTGGTAGATGAATTGTAAGTCGTTGAATAGCTGGATTTCTATGATGTATTGGGTTTTCAAATAATCTCCAAATTGCTTCATAGGGTATAATATATCAACAATTAAGATATGTTTTTATTTCATGCATTTCTTTTGTATTTGTTTCTTTTGTAGTATCTGTAATGTTTGTATTTTCAATAACAGCTCTTATTTTGTCTGGTCCTTTTGTTAAATATTTAAATAAGTATTTTATGAGCATTGACTGAGAGCATATTTCAACATTGATGTGAGCTTGATATTTTATACATAATGTACGATTATATGGAACAACAAATCTATTATCAAGTTGGATTCCTTCTTTAATAGTATTAAAAGTAGATTATTTATGTCGGTAACTAACACAACCATTTTTTTCTATGCTTGTTTCATTTGTATATTGTTTAGGAAATTTTTTAGTGCATGTTGAATTTTTCATACATGGAGCATTTATTTTTGCATATCCACATGGGCCATGTATCATAAAATCAGTAACAACTTGATAACCTAATGGGTCATATTCTGGATTTGGGATTTCTACTAATATAATTTTATCTATTTGTATTGGATCTGGACATTTATTTTTTGTATGTAACCAAAATAACATATGATAATGAGGAAGACCACGTTTTTGGAATTCGACAACGTATAAATCTATAATAATAGGAAAAAATATTGACATAAAAAGAGTTAGAAACATATTTTAAAGAAATGTAAATATTTTTTTTAAGCAATAACAAAATTGAATATAAAAGTTTACGGTAAAATAAAATAATTTACCTGCTATTATGGTCCCAAATATCTGTCCAGATTTTATTGTATGTAATAAATTATCTAATTTTATTTTAAAAATTCTACTTATGATATCTGGTGTATCATTAGATTTTTGTCCCGGAAGTAAAGCTAGAGCTCTTATAATTTCAGGCCATTTAGGATTGCATGTAAATGTTAAAAAAATATCAGGATTTCCATAATGTCTACATATTACCATTGTGTCTTGATAGTTTTGAATCATATATCTTGGACTTCCAGTATGAGATGATGGTAAAATAATTCTTTTTCCAATTGTTTGAGGGTCAGTATCACCTTTAGTTATAGCATCTTGAATACCTTTATAAAATTCAGATCTCAATTTATTTTGATTTTGTCTAATAAAGTCTAATCGATCTTCTTCAATAGTAGCATAGGCATCTGTAATATATTGTTGAAATAGTCTCCCACTTTTAAACAATGTATTTCCTTCATTTAAACGTTGTTGTAAATGAAAAGCATAGAATGATCTCATTGAAATTTATTTTTTAGATGGTTTTGTCCCTACAAAATCAGGATTCCATCCTATATTAGGTCTATATCCATCGTCACCATATGAAAATAATAAAGGATATTGTAATGACATGTAAGATGGATGGAGTTTATTAATTCTCTGTAACTCACCTGTTTGGCTACATATAATAATATCTCTTCCTTTTTCGTATTCACCAATATCACCAATAATTAAAGTTCCTATATCCGTTGAAGTTGGAAGGTCATATTGTGTACCATTCCCTTCTCGTCTACCTATTAATCTTAATTGCATTGACTGTGTTTTGTTAGTGTTGTAAAAATTTCTAACAAATCTAAATAATTTAACTAATATATTTATTTCATCTAACATTATTATTAATTTTGTAATAATATTTTCATTTAAAGAATTTGAACTATTAGTTTATGTAAATATGGACATTCTATTTTGAATTTCATTTTCTGTATCATAAATATATAGTTGTGTAAATTTTGGAAGATTATTATCAACTGGAAGTAAAGATCCCTTAAATGATGTGTACATGCATGTGAAAAGCCTAGTATGTAAAGAATATGAACTGTAACAGTCAGATTCGAGTTATTGAAATTCGAGGGGGTAGCTGATGTTTCATAACTCTAACTCTAACTCGAGTATTGACTTTGAGTTTGGGTTACCGAACAGTCAACTAGGCTCAAAACTCAAACTGAATTAAGCTAACTCAAGTTTAATAGCCCAAAAACACAACCTATGTTATTTCAAATCCTATTTATAACGTTAGTTGTAAATATTAAAATGTAAAAATAAACTTTTAATATTAAAATTATTAAAAAGTAATAAGGATGTAATGGTGAAAAGAAAAAGTAAATGTATTAACCAATCACAATCAAATGTCTAATCGCTATATGTTAAATTTGACAGCAAATTTGCCACTAAATAAGTTAAGTATATATCCGGCACAATAAATAATAGTGTTGTGGAGAGTATTTTTTATACTCATAGGCTAAATTTATTATTATACATTAATTATAACATTGTATTAGAAATATTTTAATATAGAGTTTACAAAAAAAAACAAATAGTCGAGTGTCGTCTAGAAAATTAAATGAAACTAGCTATTCACAATTAACTAATCAATAGAAGGGATTTAGTAGTGATTATATATATGGTTGATTTTACCTTAACAAATAATATAATACACTCTCAAAAAGAGAAATACAATCATAAGAAGTTGATACAAGCAAATTATTCAAATATTAAATTGTTATAATTAGGTTGGTGTACCACATCAACGTAGTACATTTGATTTACTAAATAATTTATCAACAGATAAATAGAGCACTTCAAGTGCGATGCCTTAAATCAACTCTAGCATATTTTTCCGTACTAAAGAAAGTGTACTAATATATAAAAACGTTTTACTTGGCAATACCTTTCCCAACTTATTGCAAAAACAAACATAAGAAACAATCCAACCCATTTTCCTTGTTTTGCTAATCAATCCGCTTCCCATTCCAATAACAAATACAAATTAACTAAACAAATCCTTAAAATTAAGGAATGGCCTTAATTAAATGCCATCAAACTAGTCCAAAAGCAAATCAACAAACTAGTCATTGTAAATTACGATAAGAGGATTGAAATCCACGTGGCACTGAGCAGTCCTAAAACCAGCACTAGAAGTATAACTTGCCCATGATTGTCCATCACTATTAGTAGTAGTACTAATCATAGGAATCTTCAAACCACACTTGATCTTAACCTTAAAATCCCCAACGTTGATCTTACCCAGTTTGATACTGCTATAAACACGAATCTTCACGTCAACAGGGTAAACCCCAGAACCCTTCTGCTCGTAAAACTCCTTAATCTCGTCAAAACCAAGTGACAACTTTTTAACGCCCGAAAACCAAGCGTCGACGACAGTGGTGGTCTTGGGGGGCTGGTAAAACGACAGGAGATTCCCGGAGTCGAACCTATCGCCATCGTAGAATGCCCCGGCCTCGACGCGATCGTACCGGAAGCCGATCCGCTTGTTTGGGTTACGGACGGTGAGGTTGAGGCGGAGATTGTAGTGGAGGTTGTTGTCTTCGGTGAGATAGAACTCCGTCAGCGTAGCGTCTGTGACGTAGAACTTCATCTTCCGGAAGTTGATAACTGCCCAGAAGATGAGGTTCCCGAGGACGACGACGGCGATGACGGCGGCGACGATCTTCAATATCAGGACGAAGCGGCGGCGGCGGGGGCTCGGACTCTTGGGCTCTGGCTCGGGGCCTTTTTTGGGCTCGTCTTCTTTATGGCATTCTTGGACAGGCTGTTTCTCTATATCCGCCATGGATGAGTAAGTTATAATGTCGGATGAATCAGAGAGAGAGATAAAGTTTGTGAGCTTATGATGATCAAGAGAACAACGGAAGTAAAATTAATTGGCGGTGATTCATACGAGCAAGGTGTTGGCTTTTTATATAGTAAGCGATCGTGATTGAATAAGCTGATAATGGTTTGTGAACTGAGTAATTTAGTTACTGGTGCTCTGGTACCTTAATTATAAGTTTGTTAGGTCGTTGACTAGACTTGTTAACTTAATTTAATTTCATATTCTTTGTATTACATATATAAGGTTCTTTGAAACTAATTTGAGTTTGAGATACATTCTCTAATTTGCTTTGACAATGCAAAGACTATCATATTAATTATGTCATAGTCGTACTTTAATGCTTGAGTAACTGAGTTATCTATATATATGATCATTTATTCGACTTCATAAGTTATTTTATAATAATGTGGATTTTGCACCATCATAAACCTAAATTGGGTGTAGTTCAATAAAGTTTAATATTTACAACACTCGTGTGAAACCCACCATAAATGCAAGATGGTTTTCCCCGATATATGTTATATACTTAAAACTATCTGTAATTTTGATATAATCACACGTCATTTAAAAAGAAAAATTGAATGTTCTTTAACTAATGAACAATATGGAATGATAGACTTGCTACTTTTGACGACATATGTATTGGCGCGGGTCACAATATATAGAAAGTAAACAAGTGGTTAATAAAATATTAGCATTTGCTCTAAATTAAGCTGATAACTAACTCGCCCCAAGATACAACACAGATGATGATTTGAGAACTATAGGATATAATGTCAATCTATCTTTTCTGATTAGTACTTGACTTCAAAATTCAAATTGCTCAAGTTGAAAAAAGAAAAAAAAAAATCAACGAATTGGGATTTTATTCTTTTGCTCGATACATGACAAGGTGGATGCTAGCTAAATTTTCTCAAAAATCCTTCAATCTCAACACTTGACAGCAATTTCTTCGTGGAGCATATGGCTGCCAATTAGCATAGTGTCATTCTTGATTGTTCTATTTTTCCTTTGACTTATTCCTATTTGATTTAACGTACCTCAATGTATCGAAGTAGGATACTGGTGGTCGTCGACCAATTATTGTCTGTTGGCGGAATTTTCAGTGTTGCAACATGATATCTGTAAGTATCATGATAGAATACTAGTAGTCAATTGGTCGCTATTCTCGGTACCTTAGTATGCTACTATTAGCAACAATTTTGCAAGTTCGGGAGATTGATTGTCGAAATTAAAAGTTTTAGGACAATTTACTAAACCACAACAATTTCAGGGGCAACGGTGCTAAAAACCCCTTTTTTATGTATAGATCTAAACTCAAATTTTTCAAACAGGTAGTATATTTGAATACCAATTCTCGAAAGGGAGAAAGAGGAAAATAGGCCAAGACTTGAGATGAATTAAAATTAATAGACCAATAGTTTACATAAGTTAATAAATAAGCCAAATTATTATTTTCGTCCATAACTTGTCTGGTTATGAACCATAACTTGACAAGTTATTCCCGATTTTTGTCCATAACTTGTCTGGTTATGAACCATAACTTGACAAGTTTATCCATAATTTATCTGGTTATAAATTATAACTTGACAAGTTATGACCTATTAATTTCTATAACTAAAAATTAGCCTATATACTTTCTTAAACTTTTTATATTGGTCTATTTCCTACTATTTCCCTTCTCGAAAATTCATCTAATTCGTCCTTCACTAGGCCTGTTCTTACCAAGCCGAATAAGGGCCCAAAAATAAAGGTAGTAACCCACCATTCCCCAACCCAATGGTCCACCCCACAGCCCAAGCTCTGTGGTATTTTCTGCAAAAGATAAAGGTGGAGGAAAATACCAGATCTGGTCGGTCGATGAATAATCAACAAAAACCAACTTTGACTTGTAAAAATAAAGGAAAAAAATTGACTTGACTTAACTCGTTACCCAATCTTAGGTAGCAATCCATGTGATTGTATCACCCGCCAATAATGGATCTAGTTGATTGTTTTCTTTCTTCACGTACCAAATGGATCTAATTTTTATTAATTTCTTTGGAAAAATTGATTTATCGACAAACAAATCGAAATCCAAAAAAAATTGCAACATCCATTGCAGTTCCACTGGTATGGAACAAGTCATGCAATCATATTTATTGGGCTAGGAAAACAAGGCGCCAATTCAAAATAATTATAGATGTAAATGTCAAAAAATTCGTTTATACTTAGCATGTGCTTGGTGGGCTAATATATATATATATATATATGTATGTATGTATGTATATATATATATATTTCGGATTATGTTTAAAGGAAAAATTTTAATCATGATATGTTGAGTTATAAATACAATGAAAGTCCGTTTCTATAAGGCTATTATTAGTAGGTAGAGCAAGTTAGGGGACAGATGGTTGAAAAGGACCGCCACCACTAAGCCATGTGGAAGATAACCCAAAGTCCCAATAATTTCCCTATATGATATTATCCCCAGTTCCGACTAGAATATTTACATGTATTTTTTGCTTAAATGTGGATGTATTTTTGTGCATTAGTGAAAGTAAAATTAGGTAGAAAGATAGATGAGCTCCACTTTAGGGTCTCTAGTAATGTGTAGTGCAGTATTGAGTGTGTGGTGACACGAATGAAAATTAAGCTCATTTTTTAAATAAAATTTGATCAAGTTTTTTTTTAGTTTTATTAATGGACCCCATAATTTTTTTTTAAAAAAAAAGATGTGATGATGACACTAACGATCTTTTTCTATCCTGCGAAAAAAATAAAAAGGCAAAAAGATAGACTTTTCTTCCGTTGAAAGCCCACAGTCCACAATTTAGGGCACGTTTAGTTCGTTAATTCGAGTTAAGATATGATGTTATGTGAGAACTTTTTACTGTACTAAAAAAGTTAGATGTGACTGTTTCTGATAGCTTTTTACTGTAGCAAAACTCGAATTCTAAACTCGAATCGGCGAAGTGAACGAGGCCTTAATTTCTCACATGGGACCCCTCTTTGGAACACCATTCCGTCCCATTTATTAACTGCACCTTTCATATTTTCTTTCTTGAGTTACCTCTAATTTTAGGGACTACTTTAACTATTTCACAGACGAAGAAATTGAATTTCAACTATCTATGGTTCGTAGTAGGTGACCAAGAATTTGATGTTAGTTGTAAATCGCCTTCTCTGGACACCCACTATTGCCCCATATTGTATCACGTATTTCTTAATTCAGCTTTGGAAAGAGAAAAAATGAACAGAGAGATAAGAGAGAGAAAGAGAATGAGTGAAGTGAACAGAAAGTAAGCAAACAATAGAAAAATGTGTCATCTGAAAGATGAAATAAAACGACATCACAACCTCCACTAGCTAAGCGCACATACACATACAAAATTGTTGTAATCATCTATCCAAAATAGTAATTAATTGCACGATTTTTTTTTTTTTTCATAATTTTATTCTACAAGTAATTTTCTCTTTCCATCAAAGGATTGCAATTTTGCTATACGTCTCATATATCTCAATATTTATTCTATAGCAAAATGTACAACTCAAAAGTCTTACATGTATAGACTCCAATACAAACAGAATAATATCAAACTAAACACAAAAGTAATAATTAAAAAAGAAAAGGAAAACGAAAAAAACAAAGAAACTAACGGCGTTAAGCAGCGACGTCATGTTCATACGTTAACTTTGCACTTCTGAACTAGCTGGTACTTAACGGCGTTCTCGCCGACGGCGATTCCGCTATTCCGGTTCCCGAGGCTGATGAAGGCGCTGCACTTGACGTAGAGATGGTAACGGCCGGAGATGAAAGTGCCGACTTTCCAACGGACTCTGCCGTCGATCTTGAACAAGATCATGACGGCGCCGTTGGCCTGGTCAGCTATTAGGGCGTCGGAGTTAAAGGGAGCGACGGGGACGAGGTTACCGTAAACAAACGGCGACCAGACGTTGACGTCCTTGTGGCCCTGGTAGGTGGGGGGGATTCTGGTGGGGAAGGTTATTTGCTGGTTATGGTAGACGGCGAAGACGTCGAGGCGGTCGTAGTAGACGCCGATCTTGTCGTTGGGGTTGCGGGAGGAGATGGTGACTTGGAAGCTGGAGGTGAGGAAGTTGGGGATGGAGGTGTTGAAGGCGTAAACGGTGACGTCTTGGAGGATGAAACGGGGTTTGGACGGCTGGAGAACGGCCCAGATGATCAGGATCGTCAGGAGGACGATGAAGAGGAAGATCAGGAGGCAGGCCAAGATCCGCCGCGCCTTAAGTCGGCGCCTCTTGCCGTGGTTGCCGCAGTCCTTGGACGACATTTTCTTGCTCTGATCAGCTTGATTCTGTGTATATCTGTGTGTATATTCTTGTGTTGTGGTGATTGGTTTTTATGTCTAGTGAGAGAAAGTAAGAGGAGGAGGGGAGAGAGAGAGAGAGAGAAAGAGAAGAGAGTCTCCCTCTGCTTTTGGGAAATTGACCGTGGCGTGCGACGGAAGTGTAGTGAGCCCTCTTCGGGGGCTTCTTATAAATTACAATATTACTGGTTTATTTTTAAGGAAAAAAAAAATGATGATGATATATATGATCACATTTGAACGGTGGAAATTAGAGATTTAAATATGAGAATTCTTTTTTTTTTTTTTTTTTTTTTTTTTATTCAGTTACCTACACTACTATATAAGATATTCATACTAGGAAACAGCTCAATGCTTTATGATTATATTAGTAGATTTTCTTTTTCTTTTTCTTTTAGTACTACATGTCTTAACTAATAGGAGGATTTAGACCCTTATAGTTATAGGTGACGCTAATTATGTTGTAATAAATACTGTGTTTAATTAATACTCTAATTCGTGTTAATCAAATCATTTTATTTTTTTTTTCTAAATTTGTTAGGTGTTAGTGGTTTGCTGTGGCAATTATAATAGTGGCCAGTACTCTATTACTCTATTCTACTTGATTAGGCAACATCCAGAAGCTTTAACTTTAAGCCATAATCATGTACATATCTGTGTGTGTTATTTGATTATTATCATTATTATCCAACAAGCTATATAATGAGTTTGGTGATAGTTCTTTTTTTTTTTTTTCCCCCAAGCAAAACACTACTACCGAACTCATTATAAAAACGTAGTGAAAGTCAAAAAGTTGAACTAAAAACCTAGAAGCTAGAAAACAAATTGAAGACGTGTTTTTAACTTCGTCGTATAATATAAACATCAATTAGTAGATCTAAATGGGTTTTACTTACACAGGCATCTATTATTCCAATGACTTGGCCCATCCCAAACGTGAAATGGGGGTTTTTTGTTTTTTTGTTTTTTTTAAATAAAGAAACGTGAAATGGGGTTAAACTAATCGTTTTCTCTCTTGGCTCTTCTCTACAAAATATCACCAAAATAGGCTAAACATGGCATGCTTGTGTCAATTTGCTTAGCTAGCTTAGCCCATCCACAGTATGGCCTTTTTCATACTCCTCTAGCTCTAACGATTGGTTCACATCCTTTCTACATCTCTCTCTTAAAATATCTATTTTTATCTCTTCTATCAAAGGAAAAAAAAAAAAAAAAAAAAAAAAAAAAAGAGAGTTGTTTTAGTTTTTATTTTACAGAATTTCATTACTACAGGAGACAGATCTCAGTAGAAAAATACTAGTATTATTTTTTGTCACTTTCTGTATTTATTATTTGACACGAGAATTCTACTATCTCATTTTCTATTTAAATAATAATATATCATGTTAATAGAATTTAAAAAAATACGAAAATGAGAACCCATTTAATTCGTTTATTCGAATTTTTAATTTGAATTAAGATATGATTTTATATGAAAACTTTTTACTATAATAAAACTCAAATTAATAAAATAAACAAGACCTGAATGACGCTGGCTCATGGTCAGTTTGGTCATGACAATATATATGTCAGCGAATGAGGTTGTCAACCCACGTAAGTATGTTAGCTAGGCTGTCATTCATTACTATATTAATATTCCATTGCTATAATATCTAATTATACAATATTTTTCAGAAATTAAATAAAGTACTCTGATAATATTATTAGCGGCACTAATTAATTTAACTGAAAAGATTAACGTTGTGAATTATTAAACCTTCAATGGTGCTGAACTTTGCTTTCCTCTTTTTGTTGAAATCAAAACTTATAGAGACAAAAAGGAAAGGAAAATTGATTAAGCAATTAATAAAAAGAAATGAGGTTTTATTGATTTATTGGGGTGTGGCATGATCAATTTTGATGAGGGAAAAGATTGATGGCTTTATGTGTGTGGGGTCTAGTCTTTTAATTCTTTACTTATTCATGACAATATAACAGTTTAATGATATTTAAAATAAAATAAAAAACAAATTAAAAAGTGCAGAAAATTATCAAAAAGTAAAGTGGCTGATCACCGTAGGATTGATCAAAACTTTTGATCAAAACTTTTATGGGACGAGCTCTACATTGACACGTTTAAATGGAACAACTTGGGCCCACTTTAATGACACAGAAGGTTCCTCCCTCTGGCAACCGACTTATTTTATAGAGTTCGAGAATATACTTCCCATGTCCTAAATCCAGCCAAAGCGTTTGATAAAAGAATCCATATTATATATATATATATATATATCAAATATTCATGGAACAAATTGTATTTATGTTTGGATTATTGAATACATACAGATAATACGTATCAAAAAATTAAAAAATAATTGAGGTTCTATTTTTCATACAAGAAAAAAAGTAAAGGCAAAAAATACTAAATTTTTGCTAGATTTAATATGCGCTTCTCTTTCTCTCCTTCGAATAAAGGCATAAAAAAGCTTATACAAAAGCTTATAACCTTTTTTTTTTTTGGCTAAAGAAGAAAAAACTGAAACTTTACTTTGAATCTTTTTCACTTTATCTTCAAGCTGCAACAAAAGAGGATCTAAAAAAACAAGTATAGATTAATGCGGGCCAATTCAGTTAACTGATTTTACATTTGGAGTAAAAGGAAAGAAAGAATGCAATGATTTTTTATAAAGAAAATTCAATACTAGGGTGTACAAAAATAGCTTATATATAATAGGGTTTTGTTTTAAGTCGTAATCGTTTCTGTCAGTGTTGTATACTTATTTATTTTAATGTGTTTTTGGTTCAAATTTAATATTGTCAATAATAGAAATTAATGTTGCCCCCTTTTTTTTTTTTTTTTTGTCCATTTGCTTACTATGAAGGACTAGTTTTTATTTCAACTTTTGCAATGACATTTAGGTAGTGGTATTCAAGCTATATATTACGTTGTTTATTCTAATGAAATTTTATGGCAAGATGTGTTGTAAGTCAACACTATTGTCCTTAAATTTTAACAAAAGGTCTCAAGTCACAAGTCCCAGCTAATTAATTAAATGGAAAATAAAGCTAAAGAATCCACTGGAGGGAAAAAAAAAAAAGAATTAATGTTTAAAGAAGAAAATTGATAATGGAGTTTAGCAAAGAAAAAAAAATGAAGGCAAACAAACAAAAGAAAGAAAGCCGTCAAAGAGTCCTACTTAAGAGTAACAATTCAAATTTGATCTTCTTCTTTTTTTTTTTTTTTTTTTTGATAATAATTGGAGTCGCTAAAATATTTCATTCTTTAAAGAGGCACTGTTGACCAAAGACCAAGCGTGTAAGACGAGTGGCAATGAAACATGCATATTGTATTGAATATGAAATGTGAACTAGAAGATTGTTTTCAATATTCCACACAAAATAAATAAATGATTAATAAAGTAATATAAACTAGAAAGACTTTTATAATTTACTTTTTATTTTATATTAATGCCCTTTTGATTAATATAGGCCTCGTTTAGTTTTTTAATTTGAGTTTTTAATTCCAATTTACTACAGTTAAATGCTCTCATAAAAAGTCACATCTAATTTTTTTTATTACAGTAAAAAACTCTCGTAAAAAATCACATCGCAGCTTAAATTGAAAACTCAAATTAGAGAACTAAATAAGGCCATAGTTAATTGATTAAAAAAAATATTCATAAAAAATAAGAGGTAAAAATCCGTACTCATTCACTCAAAGGCCCCGTTCAATTCACCGATTCGAGTTTTGCTACAGTAAAAAGCTCTCAGAAATAGTTATATCTAAATTTTTTACTACAGTAAAAAATTTTCATATAAAATCACATATCAAATTAAATTAAAAATTCGAATCAACGAATTAAACGGGTCCTAAGTTTCTTTCTCTAAAAAGAAACTACAAGGTTGACGTGTACGCTTCACATGCAACGTACACTGTCCACATCCGCTCTTCTTCCCAACAAATCCAGGTCAGCCCGGCCCAACAACCTTCCTACTCGCAAACATTTTATTCATCTTTCTACACTTTGTCCTTGCGTTACGTGACGTTTATCTTCCAACCACAATTCACATAAATGTTATCTTGTAATAGACGCAACTTATTATTATCTTATCCTTTTGGAAAAATATGAAGTAGGTTTAAAGCTCACTACTTAAACAAACACTACTGATCATTAAAGTGTAAATTGTGAATCTCTTTAATTTGCCCTTGAGTCAATCTGTTTAAATTAGTTAGTGCTCTAACAAAGATAGTTTACAAACATGAAATCTAATGGTTAAAAGGTTCACATACTATTTATTTATTTATTTTTGTCTTTATTCTTATCATGTGAATTTCTTCAACCATTGTTTTTTTTCTCCCTATTTCTTACTTCTTAATACTTTATTTTATATAATTTCCTCTTTCTAGCACTTGTAAGGGAAGCAAACTGCGATTGCTTTTTATCTTCTTTTGTTATACTGCAATAATTGAGAACTTTAGAGGCACTTGTAGGAAGTGCAAATGATGGACCAAATTGAGTACTCTAACAACAATATATATATATATATATATAACCAAAAACAAAAATGAGCAAGTCATTACCCTGAAAAAAACATGAGTAAATGATTGTTTTTATTTACCACAATCCACGTCAGCTAAGAGAGTCCCAATTAAATACAGCCAACAAACGTTGGCTGAAAATTAATATCTTAAACGCTCATGTGAAGCGATTTGTTGCTCCCTTTATAATCTTAACTTATTTTGTCTCTTTAGTAGGGTGCATCTTTTAAATAGTTATTCAAATTGTAATGAAATACTCCAAAAAAAAATCATTATATATAAATTGATATTCACACATCATATAGTAGAAGCATTTTGAACTCATCCATTCTGTTAAACGGCTGGATTAAAACCTAGTTATTATCCACTCACCATGCACCCAAACAAATATATATATATATATATATATATATATATCTATCTGTGTGTGTATTGACTATGGAAATATGTTACTGAATAAAACAGAAACTCATCTACATCTATATAGTTATTCATTGTTACTTTCATGATTCATGATTAGATATAGTTTT